ATTTGGGGAGTAACCCAGTCAGCAGAAAATCTGTTTTTTTCATTATTTCAAAATCATCGCCATCGTCTCTGTTCCTCTTACATTACCCGATAAGATCAAATGCCACTGAAACAGCATTAGGGGGCTCAGCACCGTGGCCAAGTGGCTAAAGTCCTCACCTTGAACGTGCCAGGATCTCATATGGGCGCCAGTTCTATTCCCAGCAGCTCCACTTCCCATCCAGCTCCCTGCTTGTGGCCTGGGAAAGCAGTCAAGGATGGCCCAAAGCTTTCGGACCCTGCACCTGCCTGGGAGACCTGGAGGAAGTTCCTGGCTCCTGGCTACGGATCAGTGAAGCACCAGCTGTTGCAGTCACTTGGGGAATGAATCATTGGATGGAAGGCCTCTTCCTCTCTGTCTCTCCTCCTCTCTGTATATCTGATTTTGCAATAAAAATAAATAAATCTTAAAAAAGAAATGGTATTAGGGTCCCAAGTTTTATTTCTTGGCTGAAGTACATGAATGGCAATGACGCAGTATGATAATAAAGATGACTCACGATAAGGTCAAACACTACACATATTTTACACATTATTAAGTAGTGATTATTTTTACCCTGTTTTTGGGAGGAGAGAAAATACGTACAGAGATCAGAAGAAACTTATGCAAGGTCATTCAGTTGAAGAGTTGCAAGTGGGATTTGAATCCTGATAACTTGAGCGTGGGTGGGGGAGTTTGGGGGGGACTCCATCCTTCTAGGCTCCACCCAGTAGCTTTCTTGGGGGAATAATCTAGAAATCATTTGAAGGGGATCAGCCTGTGTGTTGGGGCGCAGCAGGGTGAGGGGGAGGGAGGGAGTAGGTTTCCTTTGCAGTACTGATGAAGCTAGCTTTATGAAACCCATCCTTAGAAACAAGCACGAAAGAAACAAACACATTCAAATTGTCTTCAAGAATATCCAAGAGTAGAATAAATACAGCAACGTTAGCATTTTACAGACCATCTAACAGGGATTTAAAACACACACACACACACACAGGTGCCCTTTATCTGAAATCGAAATAAAATACTCTTTCCCCTTCATCATTTAATTCAAAGCCTTCCTTTATTTGGAAAGTCTTAAAATAAACCGTCATACGATTAAAACACACGCACACGCACACGCACACACACACACACACACAGCGGCGCGCCCCCTCCCCGGCGGCCGGGCGCAGCTGTCCGCGCCTCCCCCGCGCCCCGCCGCCCGCATTCCAACTCTCTGAGGTCACGGGCGGCCGCCGCCTCCCCGGATCCGTCCTCCCGCCCGGCCCAGGGGGAGGGACGCCCGCCCGGCCCGGCCGCCCCACTGCCCCGGCTGCGCGCCCCGCGTCCGTCCGTCCGTCCGCCCGCCCGCCTGCCCCCGGCCGGACCCCGCTCCGGGCCCTTCCCCTCGCCGTCGCCCGACTCTGCCCAGGGGAATGGTCTGCGCGCCGCGTTTTGGGAGACAGGAAGTGAGACATGCGAACCCCATGAGCGCGCCGCGGCGCGGGCGGGCGTGCAGGGGCCGCGCGGAGGGGCCCGGGGAGGCGGGCCGCTGAGCGGGCGCGCGGCCCCGAGGATGCGGGAGCAGGTGAGGGCGCGGGGCGCGGCCGGCGGGAGGGGGCGGGCGCCGGGGAGCGCCGGACAGCCTCGGAGAGTGGGGTCGCGGCCGCCGGACCCCGGGGCAGGAGCGTAACAAAGAGAGAAGCCTTCCTTCTGCAGGTTTGCTGGGATCCCCTGGATGGGTTCGTAAGGGGGTCTCGAACTTGCGACTGCCGGAGCTTGCATCTGGAACGGGGTTGTGCCTCTCGGAATATCGAAGGTTGCCAGGTGGCTCTGGCGAGGAGGGGAGGGAAGCAGTGTTTGGTAAAGCGTTGTTTTTGCTTTTGGAGTAAAGCGTGTTTACTCTGGAAAAAAGAATTCTTGGGTCTGCAAATTCCGACTTGTGATTTCTGCAAATCCTGATTAGATTGGCTGTTCTTGGCATGCTGTCCTATTTTCTTTTTTCGCTGAGAAAGCCTTATAATACACAGACACATTCAAAACATTTGTGTCTCCAACTGACAACTGGTGCTGTATGCCCAATAGTTACTGCCAGACTTTTTTTTGAAAGTTTGGGATATGCCTGTTATGTTACTCTTGAAAGATTGAAAGATGGATGTCCTTTTTTTTTTGTTGTTGCTTGTGTGTAGGGCTTTTAATTCTAGAGGAGCTATGCACAGGTTTGATTTAATGCCATAGCTATTCCGTTTTCCTGTTACTGATCACTTCATGTTTTAAAGCAACCTGTTAACATGTGGTGAGCATCTTAGCAGCAGACTGGGAACTGGGCAGGATCCACAGTTACAGTGTATTTGAGAAACATTTGGAACAGGAAAGGGAGAGGGAAAATGCAAGTGGATATTCCCAAGTAGCTTTTGTGAATTTAAGATCTGGTTTCTTTCTAGAGAAGGCAAGTTATCTCCTAGGCTTTTCCTCTAAGAGTGATCTATAAATTACCTGTTGAATGGTTCAATTACAATCCCAGACTCTCATCTACGTCATTGCATATTGTTTTACACCCGATAGGGACTTCCCTCAAAGCATCTTGGTTTTTAATATTCAGGCATTCATAACTTTATAAAATCATTTGCTAGCATATCCTGTGTGGAACTAAAAATTAAGATGTGTAAACATGGATACATTTGTGACTGTTATTTAGCATGGTTGTATATAAATAAGCAAAGACCAAGCCATTGCTTTGGGTCTGTCAGAGAGGGGGCGGTGGGGGGCAGCTGCCCCTGGTGCAGGCAGATGCCAGTTCCATTATAACAGCCACCGAAACCGAGCGAAAATGATGTTTTTACCCTATTCCTGAGGCTGCAAAGCATTTCAAACCTCAGGGAAATTGTAAGTTTTACCCTGAGTTCGCCTATTGAGAAGTCAAGGTAATAATCAAGTTGTAAAGTGTAGTATCTTTTGCCTTTAAGGGCATAGTTGTTTCTTTGTAGTGAAGAAAATGCCACTTTTTGGAGTGGCCCATGCTACATTTAGCATGTATGTATGTATATATGCAGGATCTTATCTCTTCCTCTAAACCATTTAATTGGCCTGTTTCCAGGCAGTGTTTTCGTCAAATGCTTAAGGTTTCTTGATTAAAAGCATTTTATTTTATTTATTTATTTTTTGCTTCCCTTAGTTACTATTCCCCTAACGATTGCAGGTGGAGATCATCTCTCCCCATCGGGCTTCTGTTATGTTCTATTATGCTTTACCTGCCCACAGCGCTGGGCCAAGGCTGTTCATTACCACAGGGCTTTAAGTAGATGCAGATTATTTATTTATTTGTTTCTGTTCTTGTCCTTACCCCCTCCTTTTCCCTCAGGCCTTCTCCATCTCTTCCCACCCTCCTTCCCACCCTTCTCCTGGTTTTATCTTCCAGGCTAGTTGGGGATAACCAGAATTTAAACAGAAACACAAAACAGACAGAAAGGCAGGGTTGGGTGCTTCTGAGAGCTGCGGCTCTGCATGTAATTATAGCATGCTCGTAATCTCCTTAAGGACAGCGAGGGCTGGAGGAGTCGGCTTGGATTTCTCCAGAGGCTCCTTACGCTGTCTTGTCCTCCCGACACGCAGCACGCCTCTGCGGAATGGAATCTCAAAGGTTGGCAAGGCGGGGGTGGGGTGGGGTGGGGGGGTCCTAGCTCAATCCGCTTCTGGGGAGCCGGACATGGCTGAGGGCAGCGGCTGGCTCTACGAGGGCTCGGGTTCTGTGCGTCCCAGGCTGGGGGTGGCCAGAAAAACCAAGCCATTGATTGTTTTGGCAAAGTTTGGCAAGTTTGGGAGAACTGTTCTATCGCAACTTGGAGCGACGCCTTCTCGCCCAGTCGTTGTCACGTGCCCCTCGCCCCAGAGGTTCCACAGGTGGGGGCTGCAGACGGTGTTAGGAACGTCCTTGGGGGGGTGCAGTGGCCCCCACACCTGATGGCAAGCAGGATCCGCCTGCCTCGCTCCACCACCTGTGGGGCTCCAGGTGTCTCCGTGCTGAAAACCGTTCCCTCCAGGAGCCGAGGGGCGGGTCCGGCCGGATCACCTCCGTCCGGAAACGCGGTCGCGCGGCCGACAGTTCCGAGGTTCCGCGTTGGCCTGGCAACGCGGTGTGCGTTTCCCGCGGGGAGCGGTGCGGGCGCGGCGGTTTCCTCACCCCGCGCCCCCCCAATCTAACCCACAATGGGGTCTAGGGCCTCGCTGGCCTGCGGGTCTAGCTAGGGGAGGGCCCATCGCCTCTGTAGACGCCCCGGCTCAGGTCTCCCAGAAACCCACGTGGTTCCCACTAGAGTTTTTCCATAGATTCTTTTTGTAACTTTGTTCACGCATCAATTGGACGAGGTGAAGGCTGATCAACCGGGAAAGATGATTTTGCTTTATGGGTGTTGAATGCTTAAGCGCCTGTAAACCTCCCATCCACCTCGTGTTAACCCTCCCTTCTAGGTTCAGAGATAATGTGTTTTAATGGACGGAAACATGAGCCGCCCTTCAGGAGGTGGTCTGTCTTTGCTTTGCCCAGGAGCTTTGGGGGAGTCCCACAGAGTGACCTGGGGGTGGAGGGTGTCTCCCACCGTCCAGCTGCCCACCCAGCCGAGGACATGCTGGGCCGGCTGTGACCTCGCTCAGCCTGGCTTCTCTGAGGGGTGGAGTCCGGCGTGGCGCCCCACCCTCGCCCCCCAGGATAAATGCCCCCTTTGCCTTCCTGATCCCCTGAGAGCTCAGCCAGGGGTGGGATCCCGAGTTCTGAAGACCAAGAGCTTCGGTTGTGACCCCCGTTCCTCTCTCCTCAGCCCAGGCGCGGATGCCCCCATTCCTCGGCCTTGGGACACTGGGACTCGGTTGCTTGTTAATGGCGGCAGCGGCGGCCGGGTGAGCGGCCGGGGACTGGGCAGCGTTGGTGTGGTCAGCCCGGCTGGCCCCAAGAGGAGCCCGGCGTGGCTACACGGCCGGCTTTGGTGGCCTGCGTTTTCCTGCTCGTGCCTACGCTGTGGAAGGGAGAAGATGCCGCTGCCGTTTGGACTCAAGTTGAAACGCACCCGGCGCTACACGGTGTCCAGCAAGAGCTGCCTGGTGGCCCGGATCCAGCTGCTTAACAATGAGTTCGTGGAGTTCACGCTGTCCGTGGAGAGCACCGGCCAGGAGAGCCTGGAGGCGGTGGCCCAGAGGCTGGAGTTGCGCGAGGTAAGCTGTAGGCCCTTCTGGTCGGATCTGATGTCTTCACTTGAGGCTCATCCATTGTGGGGCTCCCAGCATGCCCGACCTGCCATGTCTGAGCTGAGCCCGCAGGCCCTCGAACATGTGTGTGTCCCTCTGAAATGCAGTCCGGACTGTGCTCGGAGTGCATGTTGGCTTATCCGAATTCTTGTAGATCTGTATCCCCAAGTGGATCGTCTGGAATTTTCCGGGTCCATCCGTTGGGTCTTGCGTGGACTGTCTGTCTTGCACAGGTCAGGCCTGGCCAGGATATGGGAGTGCCTACTTGCCTTGGACGTCGGGTCTCCTCCACTGATTCTTTGGTCAGGTGTGGCAGGCTGTCTCTGAGCCCTGGGCATAACAGGACCGCCCACTTCTTGGAGTGGCTGTGGGGGTTGAAGTGCAGGTGCCGCTCAAGTGTTAATAATTGGGCTGCTGTGGTTATCACAAGAGGCTCTCATCTAAGCGGTAGGAAGTTGTAGCATCCTCACCTGGCTAGCCACGGAAAGCCTTGTGCTTGTGGGGCCCAGGAAGGAAGGCCTTTCATTCTCTGGAGGACCCTCCCTGGTTCTGGGGTAAGTGAAAGGAAGGGAAACTGGTTTTTCCACTTCCATTCCCATGGTCTATCCCTGACTGGAAAACCTTGTGTGGATACTGTAGTTCATAAACAGCCAGGCGCAGATAAACTTTGCCCTTTGTCAAAAAAAAAAAAAAAAATCCTGTCATTTCTCCTGATTGAAGACCTCAGGGTTTAGTTCTCTGTACCTGGAGCTCTCTGATAACAGGACAATGGAGATGATACAGAGTGTGACAGGGGAGGTGGTCAAGGGAGGGTCAGCCGAGGGAGAGTGGCATAGGGCCCAGACCCTAAGAAGGCCAGGGTGTGTGTGTGTGTGTGTGTGTGTGTGTAGGGGGGCCCATCGTGGTCTGGGAAGGACCCTTCCCACAAAGGGGGATGCAGTGGGTGTGCTGGAAGCTGAGATGGGAGGGTGGAAGGGTGTTGCAGGGGCTGCACAGTGCCGGGCTTTCTGAAGGACCTGGGCTCACCCTGGGTTGTTTTTCAACAAACGTGTGGACTCTGGAGGATGGTTGGGTGATAAGGAGCTGCAGGGTGACTGGGGTCCTGTGGATCTGGCCGGGGCTGCGGAGTGGGTGGCTTTTGGAAGCTTGGGAGGCTTAGCGGGGGACGACCTGGTGGATACCCCAGGCGTGCAGGATGTGGTGGGGGTAGACACGTGGTAAGGAGGCAGAGCAGAGCAGCTTTGGAGATGCTCAGCAAGCCAGAGGTGATGGGGGAGGGGCAAGTTGGGAGATTTGGGGGCAGAGGGAGCAGGGCAGGGGTGGAGTTCAGGCAAGAGGTTATGAAGCCCCCTGCTGGCCATCTTCAGCCAGGGCAGGAAAGGAAGGAGGCGGAACCTTGCCTTCCCCCTGTTTTGGCTTTTGCCTTCAACTTTGGAGTGGGTTTTGTGCAGAGTGGCAGGCGTGGAATGTGCATGGTGGACGCAGGTTGGACCAGGCCTTCCAGCATAACTTGGTCAGCATGTCTGGAGAGGTTGCTCCCTCACATTACAAGTTTGGGAACTGATGTGTCAGCCACAAGCAACTAAATACAGCTGTGAGAGTCTGATAAGCCTGATTTAGTTTTCCTTCTTTCTTTAAAAAAAATTTTTTTTTTATTTAGTTTTGCTGCAAAGTCAGATATACAGAAGGGAGGAGAGGGCCCGGCGGCGTGGCCTAGCGGCTAAAGTCCTCACCTTGAACACACTGGGATCCCATATACGTGCTGGTTCTAATCCCAGCAGCTCCACTTCCCGTCCAGTTCCCTGCTTGTGGCCTGGGAAAGCAGTCGAGGATGGCCCAAAGCCTTGGGACCCTGCACCCATGTGGGACAGCCAGAAAGAAGTTCCTGGCTCCTGGCTTCGGAGTGGCATAGCACCAGCCATTGCACTCACTTGGGGAGTGAATCATTGGACGGAAGATCTTCCTCTCTATATCTCCTTTCTGTATATCTGACTTTATAATAAAAAAATAAATAAATCTTTAAAAAAGAGAGAGAGAGAGAGCAGTAGCTGGAGCTGAAGCCGGAAATTGAGAATTCAGTGTGAGTCTCCGTTTGGGGGTCAGGGCTCACCTGCTTGAGCCATCAGCTGCTGCCTCCCAGGGCACGCAGTAGCACAAAGCTGGCATTGGGAGCAGAGCCAAGACTTGAACTCAAACATTCTGTCCTAAGCTTCATCTTCTCTGAGAACCAAAAGGCTGCTGTTTAACAGAAGGACGGAAAGCTTTGTGAGGGAGCGGGCAGGGGCACCTGGTCAGGGGCTGCTCCGGAGAGGCTGTGCCACAATTTCCAACTTAACAACAGTGTTGCTTAGAGTGTTTGGCATACTTGTTTGAAAGTTCTCAAACCACTCTGTCGTGTGTAAACAGATGGCTCCAGTGCCAGGCCTAATCTTAACCAAGTGACTGTTCAGAAATAATCCTAGTGGGGTGGCACCTGTTCCTGGTTGGTGTGTGTACCGCATGTGTGTGATTCGCACCAAGCAATGGCCCTGTGATGCCCTCCTGCACTCTGCTCTCATGAAGCGAGCTTGGAGTTCCTGTAGCAGGTGGAGTCGTCTCAGAGGCTGTGCTGATGTCCCAGTGGAACTCAGCAGGGGAGGTCTTTGCTTGCCTTATTGTGTGGGTGGCAGCCACGTGGACTGCACACTATCATTGTCATGCTATACCAGGTTCAGCTTTTTTAGGGCTAAATTAAGAAATCAAAGGCAAAAAGATTCATATTTAATTTAGTTAACTTAGTGTGCTAATTTTTTTTTCTAAATTCCTTATTTAAAATACAGAAACTCACATTAAAAATAGGAAAGCAAATCATTCCTGCAGGCAAATGTTACAGTTCATCACAGCCAAGGCCTCCTGGAGCTGTTGAAATTCTCTGCCTGTTTTTCCCTCTGAGCGCAACAGTCTTTTCAAGAGAGGCGGCAGGTGTCGGTAAAGAATGTCAGGGCGACTAGAAAACGTTCTGATTTTGAAAACCTGAAGGTTTGAAGGAGATGGTGAGACAAGAAGGTGTCAGCTGGGTGTGGCCAACCTGCCTCAGCCAGTATCATCCCATGGTACCTGGAATCTAGAGTTTAGCAGTCACGGTCAAGTTTGAAGTCCTACGTTGCTAGAGGAAAATCCTGAGTCATTCAAGCTCTTGGAGGAGGATGTGTGAACCCAGGAGGCACGTTTAGTCATCACCATGAGCCGTATGTTTACTCGCTGGCCAGGCCCTGAGCGCCTGGGCACGCAGGCTGGCCACCTGGGAACCCCGAGCAGGCCAGAAGTGACTTGGTGAGGTGTGGCCCTGGGAGAGAGAGATTTTGCAGAAGGAGTTCTGTGCCCCCTCCAGGACCTGACTGATTGCTTGGGGTCTTGGAATGTCCCTTCTCCGGCCCCCACTGTCCGGTGGGGGGCAGTGCTTCCCTGGGCTCTGTGGGAGAGAATGCACCCTCCTGGTGACCTCAGGACTTGGCATCTACCCAGGCTAGTGGGCAGCCCTGCGTGGCAGAGGTGTCCGTCTTTGTGACTTTTGGGACTGCTGTGCCCATGCTGTGGTGACAGGTTAGTTTCTCTTGGGATGAATTCTGTTCTTTTGTAAATCTCATTGCTTCTTCCATTTCCCTGAGAAAAATGCTTGCTGTTTACTGAGTGTTAAGCTTAGTGGGCGCTGGAGTTACACACTTCTGATACCTACTCAGCTGTGACAATGTTAGCATGTCATCGTAATTGGTCACATTTGAACTGGTGTTTCAATGCCACCCAAAAAACTGAATTGTTGAATGTCATTGCCGTTGTCCTCAAAAAGCAGACTTAGGTGGAGGGGGCGGAAGAAGTTGGGGGCGGAGGAACCTGGCGCTATGGCAGAGTTGGTTAAGCAACTGCCCTCGGTGAGAGCCGAATCTCATATGGGTTCTAGTTTGAGTTCTGGCTGCTCCACTTCAGATCTAACTCTGTGCGAGTGTTCCTGGGAAAGCAGTGGAGGATGGCCCAGTGCTTGGGACGCTGCATCCGTATGGGAGACCTGTGTGGAACCCCTGGTCTGGCCCAGCTCCAGTCATTGCAGCTATTAGAGGGGCGAATCAGTGGGAAAAAGATCTTTCTATCTTTCCTTCTTCCTGTCTGTAACCCTGCCTTTCCAATATAAATCTTTTTTTAAAAATTATAATTTTAGAAAAAGTAAGCCACAGAGTTTTTGTTTTTACTCATTAGGTTCAATCTGATACCTAGGAACTAGAAAGAGGTTTATGATATTTTGATTTAAGGTTCTACTTTTTGGGCCTCGCGCGATAGTGTAGCGGTTAAAGTCCTTGCCTCGAATGTGCTGGGATCCCATATGGGTGCTGATTCTAATCCCGGCCACTCCGCTTCCCATCCAGCTCCCTGCTTGTGGGAAAGCAGTCGAGGACAGCCCAAAGTCTTGGGTTCCTGCACCCATGTGGGAGACCCGGAAGAGGCTCCTGGCTTTGGATTGGCTCAGCTCCAGCCGATGCAGCTGCCTGGGGAGTGAATCATTGGATGAAAGACCTCGCCTTTCTCTTTTCCTCTCTGTATATCTGCCTTTCCAATAAAAATAAAATAAATCTTAAAAAGAAAAAAAGATTCTAAATTTTTTTTGTTTGGGGTTTATCTTTTACAGGAATCTTTGTTTAATGTTATATTTTAGTCACTTCATTGTTTTTGAAATATTTATTTATTTGAAAGCAAAGTTACTGAGAAAAAGATTTCTCATTCGCTGATTCACTTCCGAAATGGCCATAACTCCCCGGGCTGCGCCAGGCCAAAGCCAGGAACCAGAAACACCACCTGGGTCTCTTCTGTGTGTGGTGGCAGGGGCCCAGGTACTTGGGCCATCTTCCGCTGCTTTCCCGGGCCATTAGCAGGGAACTGAATGGCAGGTGGAGCAGGTGGGCCTCAAACCTGTATGCATGCGGGATGTTGGAACTGTA